GTCATATGAGCGCGCGGGACATATTGAATATTTTCAGTAGGTAGGAAATTTTGAATTTAGCTCGGGTGGCGGCCGAAGCCTACGTTTATCGATTTTAGACCACCGACGGATGGCTAAAGCTGCACCTGGACATGGGTTGCTGGTGCCTCTATAAATAAATTATTGATAATGGACCACCAAGGGATCTTTAACGTGTGCAATTCGCACACAGGACCTCCGAGATTTTTCGCCTTTGTCCGAGAAGGCAAGGGGTAGATCTTTCCTACCAGAAGATCAGGGTTGTGGCTGAAAGACAACAGTAAGAAGGAGCCAAGGAATAGCAGTAGAAAGGCTGCAGAAAGAGTCAGGAGACCAGAGGAGGGGGCAAAGGAGGTGGGGGCAGAAAGTAGAGAGAAAAAAACAGACGACAGAACATTGCAAGAGAGCAAGAAAGGAGGTGAAAGGATACAATTTTAGAGAAGAAAATGTTTCTGTCGCTACCCGGATTCGAAACCGGGACCTTTGAATGAGAGGCGGACACCTTAACCTCTAGGCCACGAGAGCCCCAATACTCCCTATTCACTAAAACAGCTGCTAACCCAAGCATCAAACTTCCCGGACTTACAAAGACAAACCACCGATGACGCACATGAGAGTTTTATGGTCTCTCTTTACACTCGTGATGTGTCTGCAGTTTTATTTATTTCATTTATATATTTTTTTTTACGTTTTGTTAATTTTTGTTCGTTTTTCAATTAAAAACAAAACCAATATGTTACAGTTGAAGGCTTTCTTTGACACATGGGAGTTGGGTCTCTATGGCAAAACAAACAGATAGAGGTAAGGCGCATAAGTCCGAGAAAAGAAAAGCATGTCGATATAATGACAACCACTTGGGTTAGGAAAACAGTAAAGCGGGGACATGGAAATAAGAGGAAAAGTTAGAACCAAAAAAACAACAACAAAAAAAACGGGGGGAGGGGAATCTACCAGTCGCTCCCTCCAACCCAACCACCCGCAGTAAGGTAGGGTAAAGAAGAGTCTTGATTTCGAAAGAAGGAGAGAATGCACTTCGATAGAAAAATTAGAAGACCAGTTGTAGTTATAAATGAGCTCTCGGAGCAAGCTTGTTAGCTTGTTTTGTGTGTGTGTGGGGGGGGGGGGGGGGGGTTTTTTTTTTTTTTTTTTTTTTTTGGGGGGGGGTATATTTGTACGTATGTTTGTTTCTTTGTTTGCTTATTTGTTTGTTTGAGTAAAGAGAAGCACATCGACACAATAAGGGTCATTTAGTGCAGGGGAAAAATTAAAACAGATAGACAGAAGCAACTGGTGGAAAATAAAGAAGTAGACACCACTGGCGCCTTCCAACTTCCCATAATATTTCAGTTATGTGGAAAACGTTCCAACAGCTGCCAACTAGCATACACTCAACAGAAAATGTAGCTTAGAAATCCGTCAGGTAAATATATTAAATAAAGCGATCTAATAACAGTTACAGATATGCCACAGCAAAGTATTTGTGTTTGGTCAGCGAGTGTGTTTGTACATATAGTGTTAATCCCTCTGGCGCAAGGCTTCACGCGATGTCAAGCTGACGTTTGTTTGTTTAATTGAGGAAATAGTGGAGTGCCTTTCCCAGGGACACAACGTCGAACCGAGCTGAGGCTCGAACCCCCCGAACCCTGTATCTCACGATTACGTGTCCGGTAGCATAACCACTAGGCTACCGACGCTATCAATAACGGTTATTTAGTGCTGGGGAAAATTGAGACAGGTAGACATAAATAATCGAGGGAAAGTGAAGAAGTAGGACCTGCTTGTGGTGACCTACAACCATTCGCGTAGAGTGAGCTTAGAAATCCGTCAGGTAAATATATAAAATAAAATGATCTAATAACAATGACAGAAGTGTCATGACAAAGTACTTGTGTATGGTCAATACGTGTGTTTGTAGGTGTGTTTATCCCTCTGACAGAAGGCTTACGCGACGTCATGCTGACTCTCGGGTTATACTAATAAAGAAATTGGCACAATTAATGTGCTGGGGTTTATATCATTTTCAAAAGTTTCTAAAGATAAAAACGACCCAGCTACACTAACTAGAGAGAGAGGGGGGGAGA